GATCACCTTAGCGACTCAAACACATATCATAAAGTTGCTCGTCAGCCAAAACAGTCTAAAACAAGATCAACGCATTCTGGAAAAACATCTGCCTACAAAATGAGTTCCCAGCTTTTGTCCAGAAAAGCTTCCTGTCCTCGAACACCGATTTACCCCGGTTTTACGCCCTCATCAAAACCTACCAAACGGGCCCGAACGTCAAAATACGATCCATAGTATCCAACAGCAACGGACCAACGCTACGCATCTCATGGTTGCTCGCCAACGGCCTTAAACCGATGCTAGAGAATGTCCCAGCACATCTAGAGAACAGCCTAGAGCTCATTAACTACATTCAATCCGGCGATCTCACCAGCAACAAAACGTTAACATATCCATGCAGCCTAGATGTGGTGTCCCTATACACCTCAATTCCTATACAGGAAGCCATCACCAATGCTGTTGACCGAATTCAGAACCCAATCTTCCACCTCTCCAAACAAGACATTACGGATCTTCTCACAGTTACATTAAACAACATGTACTTCTCTTTCAATGGCCAAGTCTTCCGCCAAAAATGAGGTCTCCCTATGGGTTCAAGCATTTCAGGAATTCTGGCCATTCTCTTTATCTCTCCATAAACCCTCACAAGAGATATGTCGATGACATCTACCTACAGACTACTAACGAAGAAATGGCAGACCAGTTCCACCGCATAATGAATAACCTGCCTCCAAAATTGAAGTTTGAAATTGAGAAACCGGAAAAAACACCTAACGGCCACGAATTGTCACTACTAGACTTCGAAGTTACCATCTCTAAAGACGACAAAAGCTCCTTTGAGTTTTACAAGAAAAAGCTAAAAAACCATTGTTTGTACACCATCAATCGGCTATTCCCAAGAAAGCCAAGTCCAACTTCATTCGCAACGAGCGGAAACGTATTCACGACCGATGCTCCACACAAATTACAAACGCAAAACATCAAAGTGCGTTTGACGAAATCCTGCGCCTAAACGGATACTCAGAGAGCTACATACACCACACACAACAATCCCACAACCATCGCGAAGACTCTCTCCTTCCCAACACAGAAAAGAACAAATGGTCACATCTGAAGATCTCCTCTATCTCCGAACGGCTAGACCACAAGACCACTAACATCTTCCGTAAAGAGGGAATACCTGTGCGCATCGCACACAAGTCATACACCCTCAAAAAAGCCCTCTCTCACAGAGCGTACATGCATACATCTCACAGAGCGTACATGCACAAGAGACAATTGCCCCATCGCACATACCAACCTTTGTTTATTGAGAAACGCTGTTTACCAAATTACGTGCAAAAACTGGAACCAAGAATACATCGGGAGCACCACTCGCCTCATTCACGACCGCGTGAAAGAACAACTCAGAAGCGTAAATTCATCCGTAAACAAACATATCGCTATATGCCAAAACAAGGATCACAAGGGCATTGAAGTCAAAATCATCACATTGGAAAACGACTCGGTAAACCTCCGCCTATTTGAAGCGTTTTAAATAAAGAAAAACAAACCTACACTTAACTCCCGAGAAGAATGCATCGAATTCGCGGACCTATTGTTCTAACGCCCCCATACCACACTGGATCCCATCACAGGGACATTAGCTCATTAGTATAGTGACACCTTTCTCCCTTTTATTCGGCCCTCGCAGAATGTCTTATTCGTCCCTGATGATGCCGTTGAGCGGCGAAAGCTCGGACTCCTACGATACGATATTTTACAATATTTTACAGTAATTCAATGCCGCATTAGTGTTCGTATTGTTTAGCTATTTCCATTTGAGCAGATCATGATTCAAACAGGGGGAATGCCCGCCGTTTAGGATGAAGGCTAGTCTAAATGGGATCCCGTATAAATACATTATATTAATAATATTGTAGGAAATACGTGAATGATTTTACGATAAAGCATTAACAAGACTTGTAACCACATAGTTATACACCCTGTCCACACAAGTTTAACGCAATCGAAGAAATGAACGATGCTATATTTCTGGACTCCGCTAATTTACTTACCGTGCCAGGAATTTTCCGTGAAGCCTCCAAAAATGTTATTGCCACTTTTGGCAATGGTAACTGTGGGTCCTTTGTTGTCACATTTGGAGTGAAAGGCTTCAGCTGTGAAGCCATCTCGAGAAGCACGGTACAGAAGATGCCATTTGCTATCAATGTATTGAGGAAACCAACCTTTAAGCGTGCTTCGGTGCTCTTCATTCGTCAGTATTACTGATTTTTCAAAACACTTCGGTGTTTTGGGCCTCAACTCCTCCAGGATTCTTTGTATCTGATAGAACTCAGCTTCATCAGCGAGTTCTTTCAGAAATGTTGCACCATCTGGCAAAGTCAATTTACCATTGCGAAGATAATTAAGTATGAATCGGAAGTGAGTTCCATCTCGGTCGATAAAGAAAGTGCCGTCTTCAGAAGGTTTAATTTCAAACTTCCCGGAAAACATAGCAGCCAGCATTGAATTTGGATCTTTGGTCAGCGTTTGAAGACTCGTTGTGAAGCGATGACCGCCGACATTTAGCTCTATGGTCGAAGAAAAGTGAACATGCTCCAACTTCTTCGACATGGCGTCGATCGCTCCCTGCTCTTGGCGAAGTCTTGCTGTTTCTCGCTGAAATATTTCGCAAGCCTCTTTGAAGTGCTTTTCTGCGGCTTCCAGATCTTGCTTTGGTTGTTTCTGCTTCTTCGGAAAGGCGTTTTTACTCATGGTTACATAAAGCACAAAGGATATCTTGAAAGCGAAAGGGACTCTATTGATACTCCTGCTTGGCCGTAAAGCATGATGAATGCAGTCATTCTTAATAAAATAGTTTTGTGATTTTTAAATGACGTAGTATACACTGTTAGAGTGGCGTTACTGTTCTCACCATAACCATAGTTAGTAGAGGGGACTGGTTTGGAAAGCCGGCTAACTTCAAAGGGCCGGCCTATTGTTTCGCTTTTGAGGTTGAACCGTACCATCACGTGACCAGTACCGTGCACACATCAAGATAAACATGGCTGACATGATCGATTTATTTTTGTTTGGAGACGATTTCGACGCTGTCTTAGAAATTTTAGATGAAGAAGAAATCGATTAACACTTTGAAGAAGCTGCCGATGAAGTAAGAGTTTAAATCTGCTCAAAATTAAATGTTTTAGCGTAAGCAAGGAAAAGATCACCCGTCACTCGATCAATTCTGATTTGTGCTCAAGCTTGAAACCGTCTTTTTATTGCGAACTAAGTGCGAAATACTTATCTTAATCAGCAATTTTATTATTATTGACCACTTTGTTGATTGTGCTTGGATTGTATCCTTATTTTTATAAATGAAAGCTAACTCTTAACTAAACGCTATCAACGCGAACTTTTTGTTTGCACCGATGACAGGTTCAACTCGAAAGCATTGTATGTCAACATTGCCACAAGAAATGCAAGAGCAAGAGTGGACTGAAACGCCACATAACTGTAAAGCACAAAGTTATCGAAAAGGAAGACCAAGGGAAACGACAGAGCTATTTAACAGTCGAAACTTATTCAAGGATTGTCGAGAAAGCCAAATTAAAATTGTGCGACTGCAAAATGTACCCACAGCTGAAAAAAGAATCAAGTCCTACAACTGCAACATAACATCAGAATTCTTTGAAATTCAGAACTTATATAACCGTTTAGTCAACTCTGGAAACGTTGAGAGATTTTATGCTGCTTTTTAATCAAATATTGCTTTGCATTCTGCGAAGCATTTTGAAGGATTATCAAGGAATGCTGCTACCCTACTTTCAACTAAGGTTGCTGACAGCATGCTTGCACATAGTGCTGAAGAGAAATTACTTGCAAGTCATACGTGTGTTTCATTGACTAAACTGTCCGATAAAGAAAAAGCTGGACTACAGTACATTGGAGGTTCTGTACTCCACAAGCTTTACAACAAGCATGCAATTGTAAAGAAATTATTAGAAACTGAGCAAGCATGTCTGTACTTAAGGCTGGGAAATTAGAAGACCCTTCTGCTATGAAACAGAAGTAAAAGTTTGCTCATTTTCTTTTGCAAAGGACATAATACAGAAACACAAGATAAAACTAAAACAGCTGAAATCAAAAGCACTTCGCAAAGACATCATTAGACCCTCCACAGGAACTAAGGCAAAATTAGACTGAATTGCTTTTAGTAATTATCATTTATTATTTAGGACAACTTCAACATACATACCATATTTCTCTGCCTATAAGCTCAGGGCTTATAAGCTCGGGGGGGGGGGGCCTTATACGTGGATCAAAAAAANATTGTTACTGGGACAGCAAAGGCCAACAGCTCTCCACCTGCACAGTAAAATTCCTTTTGCTTTTTATCTTGAAATTGTTTTGTAAACTCATACCTGGTACAAGTACCAGATCCAGAATGATACAGACAGTTTCTTGTGGTCTTTACAAGATGAGGGGCATCTGAGAAGAAGTATATAAACCTCTGTGGTGCAAACAAATTGATTGTGCGATAGCACACATCCTTGTCAGCATTTCCATCAAGACTCTTATGCATTCGGTAGAATCTTCTATTTGGTGTGGCTCCATCTGAAGTAGAAGCAATAACCCAGAGGTTACAGGTTAACTCCAAAATAGCAACAGCCTCCCAGAACAATGGCATTATCTGGGCAGAAGTAGCTCCATTGGTAGAAAAGTGGGCCAAGCAGAACTTCAACTCTGTACAAACACCTCTGATGAGGAAAGCAAGAGCATGAGTTGCAACCTCATCAAGTTTTTCCAGAGCTCCAAAGTTGACATCAGGGTCACCAAGATCCACATATCCAATCAATTCGCCTGTGACCTTATCAAAAACAAGATTTGACATGATTTTCATTTCGTCAAATAGCAAGACAACATATCGTTGCACATCAAAGTACTTGTCTGTTAATGCTTTCAGTTCTTCAATCACATTCTCATGAAAGCCCCTTTTGGGTCTAATAAAGTTTCTATAATCCCGCAGTGTTCTTTGGCTTGGCAGTACTAGTATCCCACTTTTTCTTATTTCCTCGTAGCAAGATGGTGATTTGGCTGCCAATGACAAACAATAACGAATTATCATTGGGTGATATCTGACACCAGTTGATGTGCTGTTGTGGAGTTTCTTTTGTTGTTGCCAAAATAGGCTCATGAATGGTGTGATCTCTGCCTGACCAAGTATATCAGTCATGTCTTTACTGAGTTCATGATCAATCTCAACACTTGATTTCTCGATTTCAAGTTTCATTTCTTGAAGTTTCTTTTCAAGGGTTGCACATTTCAATCTTTGCATCTGCAAAGTCAGTTTTAATCGTTCTGGAGATGTCTTAGAGACTGGGGTATTGAGATGCGCTGGCTTAGCTAGTTTGTTCTGCTTGGCCCTTTCTTTTAGCCGAGACTCATGTGAATATCCATAGCAACCAGCACACTGCTGGCCCTCATCCTCTGTTAAAATTTCACATCCTCTCATTCTCCAATACTGCTGGTGTGGAAATGAACTATCGTCGAATAGTGGATCGACAGATTTCGGGATGATGTGGGGTATTACAGCATTGGATAGTTCATGTGGAATTACTCCAGGACATATGGAGTGGCTTTCAACATCTTTCACAAGGTCAGAAACTGTGATATTACTGACTGATCTTAAATATCTAGAATACAGTTCATGGTCTTCAGGTATGAGCCATCCAAAAATTGAAATTGTGTATCCCAAACTGTCATCTATCATGATTTCAACTTCTGGCAACAAAAAGGTGTTTTTTATCTTTCTCAGCAATATTCTGTCATTTAACTCTTGAACTGACCAGTCACTGAGGGTTTTCAAAGGATGAACTCGTTTGCAAAGTTCTACAAAGTTACTATAACAAGCATTCTTTCTTTTGGTTTCAGGCAAGTCCTTCACGATCGATAGCAGTCTTCGTGGCGCTAGCTTTTCCTTTTGGTGGCTTTTTTGGGGCATATTTAGAGTCGGTAGAGAACCAAACTTCGGTCTTTTCTTGGTCATCTTTGAAGACACGACTAAAAGCAAAGTTAAATAATTTATCTATCAGTAAGAAAGGCGGAAGAGCTTTGGTTAGTACAAGACATGTGTTGCCATCACGGAACACAAAAGTAAACATCGTCAGTTCCAAGTTATAAACACACATCTGATGTTTATAATCCCCTCTACTAACTACTAACTACACATACACCTTCGGTTGTGCTGTGCCGCGCACAAAAATCCTACATTCCATACTGGTAAGCACCATACACACACAAGCTTTAGTCTGAATACTTACCAATTTCTATATCATCAAGAGCGAAATGCTTCTCGCATGTAAAGACTCTATCGCTGTCAATTTGTTTCTGGAAATCTTTGTCTACTTCTCTTGATTTTGTGAGTTCATTCAGCCAGTCTGCTCTCCACTTTTTGTATACTTCGTTCCTCGGAGCGGGAAGTTTCCAAATGCCTATACCTTTCGATCGCCTGCACGATCCACAGCCAACCACGGAACAATTATCGCCAGGCATTTTAAACTTAATCTAGAGTAGCTTTATTACGATTTACAACTGTTTTTTCTTTTTTTATCATAATAACACCGAAAAGAACACAAGACAGCGTACCGTACTCAAGTGACAACCGGCGCCACATCTCAGTTGAATCCTGTGCTGTGCACGGTATTGGTCACGTGATTTCTAAAAAATCGAACAATAACCTCCTCTTTTGAAGTTCACCGACCTTCCTAACCAGTCCCCTCTACTAACTATGCCATAACCAAACTCCTTGTTTACGGGAAGTACAATCATTTGATCTCAAAGCAGAGACGTGCTGGTAAAGGTGGTAGCTAGTTCATTTTAAATGATATCTAGACTAAGCCAGGCCGAGTGCTAAATCCAGAGTGTATTCAAGTATATTTTTTTTTGGCCTTCTCAATTTGGATTCATAATTTGCCGTTAAGTGGCTGTTAATTGTAATCCGCGTCGCTCTTCACTTTTCTTTTCCTATTTGTTTTTGTTTTCTTTTTTAAAAAATATCAGCGCAAAATTCTGAGTTAAACCTATAATAACCCCCCTCCCCACCCAAAAAAAAACATTTATCATACTGCATTGATTCATCTCAAATTAGGAAAGGTCCATTTCCTATCGCACCCGTATTTCATCTGTATTTCGATTTGCCGCGTAGAATAGAGGCTGGGGAAACATCATTTCATTGCTTGTGAGCTTTCGATAACGAATTGTTGTTTAGCATATTTACTTTTCATCTGAAGTGTAAAAATAGTTACGGCGATTGAGGAAGAATGGAAAAGATGTTGATGCGATTTTTAAGCGTACAGGTTTTTTGATAGTGTTATATTTGTTTATTTTACTGGAATTTTTGAGAAAAACGAAAGACCCTTAATGTCACGAAAACAAATTCTCCGCTCGAAGGTGTACGTTGTTTATCGAGGAACTCGTCATTAATCATTATCGCCGGGGGGCTGGAGGATTTTGGGGAGAATCACATGGCATTTAGGGGAACGAGGCAGGATCAGTTGCTGCCAACAGAGTATGAAGTAGGAGGACCATAAAATATTGATTTCCAAGTACCTGTCAATGAACGGAAAAGTCCTTCGATCTCCCCTCCCCGCCCAAGCGATAAATAATGACCGGTCTTCCCAGACACGCCTCGAGTGCTAATTTTTGCTAGAGCTGATACAACTTTACCATTCTTCTCCTCACTGTACTGACACAAGCTGTATGCTTTCATAACAACGCTTAATAAGAAGTTCCCTCTCTACAATTTAATAAAGACGGCTTCTTGATGAACATATTCCCATTATCTTTCAATCCTGAACCCATCTAACACTCATATGGTCTCTTTCGCAGTCTTT